CCTTGATATCCTCCCACAACTCATCTGGCCTTCATTCATTAGTGTTCAAAGCCTCAAATCTGTTCCTGAGATGGTTCTGAAATTCAGGTGGGATAGACTCAAGGTCATATTTTCGTTGCCTCGGATTTGCCTTTAGGGGAGCTCTGGTGGCCTAGTGGCAGGAAGCTGCACTGCAATCCCAGAGGCACAAAGTTCAAATCCACCAGATGCTCTGCTGGAGAAGGAGAGGCAATCTCCTCCTGTACCAGTCAGACTCGATTTGACGGTTGTTGTTGTTGTTATGTGTCATCGAGTCGCTTGTGACTCATAGTGACCCTATGTACAGCAGCCCTAAACTCTGCTCTGTCCTGTGCCAATCGCACCGTATCGACACGCCCATCCCAATTACCCCAGTTACTGAATCAATCCACCTCATAGGGGGCCTTCCCCTTCTGCGCTGTCCCTCCACCCTACCAGGCATGATGCCCCTCTCCAAGGACCTGTCCTCCTTGCACCATGTCCAAAGTATATTAGACGGAGGCCTTAGAATCCTTGCCTCCAAGGAGCGGCCCGGTTTGACCCTTTCCAGGATGAATCTGTTTGTTTTCCTAGCAGTCCATGGTACCCTCAATACTCTTCTCCAGCACCATAGCTCAAAGGCATCAATTCTCCTTCTATCCTCCCTAGTCATTGTCCAACAAGTGATAGTAAAGACCATGGCCTCTATCAGACACACCTTAGTGTCCAAAGGGACACCATTGCTTTTCAGTACTTTGGAGAGGAACACACACAAAATACAATACAATACAATAAAATAAAATAAAAGCCTTTAGTCGTGGGTGGGAGGAAAGTGGTGCCCCCTAGTGTCCAGGTATGTTAATGGTAGCGACTGGAAGCAAGCAGAAAATGAACATCTGGGTGGCAAAGGACAGCATGCTGAGCAAGTTAATCCCTTCCCATCTGGGTGCTTTTCTAATGGGTTGTTTACATTGAATTGAGGATAGGCCTGGTACTCAAAGGACCACTCAAAGCATCTTGGCCAAGCTGCTGTTAACTCAGCATATAGAGGTAGTTTGATAAGCTGTCTATCTATTTTAGTGTCAGATTGTCAATTATAAAAATTCCTCCATGTAGTTAGTATTATTTTTGTTGTTGAGTACCGTCAAGTTGGAACTGACTCATCACTGACTCTCCAGCGGATTTTCAGAGGCAGAAAATCGCATGGGAGGACTGCCATCTTTCTCCTGTGGAGCTGTTAGTGGATTCAAACTACATATCTTTGGGTTGGTAGTACAACTCCTTACCCACTAGGCCACCAGAGCTCCCTATAGCTAGTATTAGTCCCATTTATAAATGGAACAACAAACTAGTGAAGTTTAATAACATACACGATTACAAGGCACGTAGTGGATTAGCTGGAATTTGAATCCACCTGTTAATTTCACCAGGGCCCTCTGGTGGCTTCTTGGTGAGGATTTGCACTGCTAAGCCAAAGGCAGGTGTTTTGGATCCACCAGCTGCTCTGAGAGAGAACTATGAGTTGGTTCTGATTGACAGCACAAAACAGCCAACAACATTCATTTACCCACCTAGTGGGAATTTATTGTTTGTTCATCTAGGTGATGCACAGTGCTAAATGTTAAAGATGGTCTTGTCCTCAAGGGTAGTAAAACCCAGGTCTGTCTGTCCTCAAGAGCTCAGGCCGTTCCGCTTCACCACACTGCCTTTGTCATTTGCAAATCCCACTCCCCCATGTCTCCATCCTACTGAATGGGGGGGAAATAGGCAAGATGTGGGGAGCAAATATTTTTATTTCTTTTTAATTCATCTGTTCATTCATTAGACTATTTGTTGGAAAACATCCCAAATCCAAATAGGGTTATTTGTATATTACTTGTGCCATGCAATGAGGTAGTTGTTGAGCCTGCCTTTCTTGAGTTCTGGGAGGTCAGGAGGGCAGAAAGAATTTCTCCCAGGGTGCTCCTCGGAGGCAAAGATGATGAAGTTTCATTTCGCATACTTTGGACATATTGCTAGGAGAGGCTATTCCTTGGAGAAGGATATCATGCTTGGAAAGGTGGAGGGATGATGGAGAGGAAGGCCCTCAATTGAGTGGATTGACACAGTTACTATAGCAATGAGTTGAGGTGTGTCAGAGAGGATGAGGCTGGCACAGGATAGGACAGTATTCAGATCTGTTGGTCTATAGGGTCACTGTGAGTCATATGCGACTCAATAGAACAATATGCGACACCTAACAACAACAATAGAAGACGTATCTAAGTGCTTAACCCATGTACTCATAGTTATTTGACCAAACAATAATTTACCAAATGTAGAAATCAGGTTTTTTGAACCATTTCATGACAAATTTCAAAAGTACTTACCATTTTTTTCAAGCTTTCTTCGGAAAAGATGTTGAAGGCTGGGGGTATGGCTATAGGAGTTTAATGATGGACTTCACATTTGTGAAGGGATTTTTACAGTCCCCAAGTCTCCCCTGAAAACTCCGCAAGATGCAGTGGACTGAAAGCACACCAGGATGACAAACTTACTTGTTGACAGAGAGGTGTGAGACCAGGGGGAGAATGTGAGAAGGCTGTGGCTTTATCCTTTCTGGGATCTTTTAGAACTAGAACTGTTAAATCCTGAGTTAACACCATTGAGGAAATCTAAAGGCTGAGAACATCAGTGTAGAATATCAACTCTTCACGGGAGTATCCTTGTCCCTTCCTTTACACTGTCTCTGCTTTCTGTCCTTTACTATTCTATATCTAGAGCACCTATAAATTAAGCTTTCCTCTCTTAGTAGTTTTCAGCTAGCAGCTATATGTGCTAAGACCACTGTACCCGGCTGATTCCTATTCTAGTATAGTGGCTTCCAGCCTAAGATAGACAACGTCACGTGGGTACAATCAAGATTTTGAATGTACATATGCTCACCCTGAATGCAACATGAATGCAAAGTATCCATTCAAATGGAAGTTTGGGGATTGGGTAGAGATGGAAGCTATTATCAGATGATGGACATCTCCACCCGCCCCCCCCCATTCCTCATCTATATATGCCAACCCTTTCCTCCCATCATCCCTTCTCAGACTTCCCAGGAGTTTGTAGAGAAACTGACTAAGCGACTGAAAAGACATCCAGAGGAAACTGGAGGCTTTCAGGAGGCACCCCTGGCATACGATGCCATCTGGGCCTTGGCATTGGCCCTGAACAAGACATCTGGAGGTGGTGGCCGCTCGGGTGTGCGCCTGGAGGACTTCAACTACAACAACCAGACCATTACTGACCAGATCTACCGGGCAATGAATTCCTCATCCTTCGAGGGTGTCTCTGTGAGTTAAAGCAACTTCTTTTACTTCCCTGACCTCCCAGAGACAGGGAGAGAGAAAGATTCCCTTGGCGATTCTTTCTCCTATAGCCATGTGTTCTCTGTTTTCCTCACTGCTTTTCTATAATAGTTAATTTCCAACCAGGAAAGGAGGGACACCCAAATCAGGAAATCTCAAAAATTCTAGGTGGATCCCTCCCTGTCATTGTATTGTTTCTTTGAGCTGTGTTTCCTTTAAACTAGTCTGCATATTTATGAGTCAGATGAGAATCATAGAATTTTAAAAAGAGAAACGATCTGAAAGACCATCTTAGTCCTTTTAAAGTGGAGAGAATTCATGCCCTTAGGGATTCGGTGACATGCGTAGGTCACATAGCCAGAAGCCAGGCCTCCTAGCACTCTCTCTGGGGACTTTTTTCTATTCAAATCTCACTGACAAGGCTTCTCAGAAGAATAATGTTTCTGAAATCTAGGGTATAGGCATCTGGGGTATGTCCTATATGCAGGCAATGCCATAAATAGCATTCATTCAGAAGCTCAATTACTTCAAAAACATAAGGATTCAAAGAGTCCCTGATGTTCCCTTTTCTCTCTGCTTTAATACCCTTTGCCTTCCGCCACATGTTCGCCTCCTTCAGGGCCATGTGGTGTTTGATGCCAGCGGCTCTCGGATGGCATGGACTCTGATTGAACAGTTACAGGGTGAGTGTGGGGGCAGGCGGGAGTGGGGATCAGTGGGGGCCAGGCTGGGGCTGAGATAGGGCCCATGTCTGGCAGGAGGATGCCAGAGACATCACAAGATTGCCTTGGTGCTTCTTCCTCTTCCGTAGCTGTATCCATCAAGCTTTTAAAAAAGAATAATAATAATAATAATACAGATACATGTCACTTATTGCCTACGATATGTTGTGTGAAAGAAGCCATTTGAATGTTGTGAGAATATCATATTAAATCTTATGGGACTCTGCTTCCAGTTGGCCTCATTGCTACCACCACTGCTTCTAGTAGGGACTAAAAGATCAGGTTCCCTGTTCTGCTCACCTGAGTCACAGAAGCAGCTGAAACCTGGAGCTCCTGCTGTCACCTACCCTAGTGACCAAGTCTGAGCCTGACTCCACATCTAGAGCCTTGCTTCTGCCCCACCTCTGCTTCACCTGCCTACATCTCACCTGCGGGTTTGGGGGTCTATAAAACCATTGTTGTTGTGTACTCTTGAGTTGGAACCAACCCACTGTTTTCAGAGGTAGTAAGTCACAATGGTAGGAGATTGCCCATCCTCCCACAGAGCAGCTGGTGTATTCGAACTGTGTGCCTTTGGGATTACAGAGTAGCTTCTTAATCCCTAGGCCACGAAAGCTCCCTGTAAAACTCTTGTTGGTTTTTTAAAAAAATTATTATTATTATTATTATATTTTGTGTGTGTGTGTGTGTGTACTGTCAAATCAGATCTGACTGGTACAGGAGGAGATAACCCCTCCATCTCCTGCAGGGTATCTTGTGGTTTCGAACCACTGTACCTCTGGGACTGCAGTGCAGCTTCTTGCCATTAGGCCACCAGAGCTCCCTCGTTGTTGTTGTTGATTGCCTTCAAGTCGAGCACGACTCATAGCGACCCTATGAACAAAATGCCTGAAGCCCCTCTACAACTATCGACATTTACCAAAGTTCATAGAGTTTCTGGAGGCACGTTGTTTAGGAAGTGGATAGTAAGAAGAGAGCTGGTTTCTCTTTTTTGAAAATAAAAGCAAACAAAATCACTTATGAGATCATGGATGTATGTTAGGAACATATATTCAGTCAGACATTTTTCCAAAAGAATATTAAGTAATGAATATGTGTACTAAAGAGCTTAGGTATGGTGATACTACCCTTGCTTTAAGTGGTTTTGTTCTTTTTTTAAAATTATTATTAAATTTTATTAGTTTTAGTGAACATTTATACAGAGATTTTGGGTTTTCATTCATCCATTGTTGCACTGTTTTCTCTACCCTCCTCCCCAGTTTGTTCTTCTTCTCTCCCCCCACCCCCCGAATGTCTGTTTTAATTGTCCAGTTGGGTTTTGTTCTTAAAAAGAAGCATGCAGGTTGCAACAGTCAACCCCTCTTTCCCAATAATTTGTCTTAATTTCTGAATGCTGCTATAACAGAAATACAGGTGTGTTGCTTGTTGCTTTGAAAAATAGAAATTTATGAATATTTTCTCACAGTGCTAGAGGCTAAAAATCTAAACAAAGTTTTGGCCATGTCCATTTTCGTCCCAGGCTTCCTTCATTCTTTGTGATCCTCATATGTTATCTGTCTTCCCTAATAAGAACTTGCCTCTATCTAATCTCCTTTTCATAACTCAGAAATGATTAAGACCTCATTAACATAATAAAGAAGATCCTATTCCCAAATAATATTATATACACAAGTACAGGGGTTAGATTTCTAACACTTGTTTAGGGGACACAATTCTGTCCATAACAACATCCGTTTTTAATTTCAGAAATTTTTCTTTGGCTGAGATGACAAGTCAATAACTTATCAATGTATATTCTTAGGCTCCTGGGAAAGAGAATCTCAGAAGCTTATTATAAAGGGACCCATTGAATGTCCTTGCTGTAGAAACAACAGCGCCTAGTTTGTAGTATGTATTCTTTGGCTTTTCCAAATTTTATTTTCTTAAAAGTTAGCATTTGAAAAACTTCTTTGAGTTAACTTTTCAACTCCCCCCCACTTGCAGCCAGTTCTTGGCCTCCTGTGAAAAGTTTCTTTCTTCCTTTTTCAACACCTCCCTCCCACATCCTCTCAGATCTTTGTATCCAGAACAAGAAGAAATGGACTTCAGCCATGGTAGGAGAGGTGCGAGTTAGCTCCCAAAGGAAGAGTTCTGGTAACTAGGATAGCTCCATTCCGCCACAGAAGTCTTACGAGTGAGTGATTGGATTTTACTTAGTGCTTCTTTAAGAGGCAGATGTAAGTTATCTAAGGAATTAGAACTCAAGCCAACACAAGAGAGATTTCTAAATTTAAGAGGAAAGCCACTGGAAAAATAAATCCTGTGATTCTGTCATGATAGGGAGAATAAACAGAAATATGCTTAAAGCTCTAGCAACAAGAATCGGTGTGAGAGACATCTTGCAGGAAGAGGTGTGAGGCAGAAGAATGGGTGGCAGACATACTGTGGAGCCTTCCTTACTCAACGATCTTAAATATATAAGATACTCTTTTTTTATTTGAGTTGCCTTGGGAACTATCTTACATTGCTTTTAAGGCAGTTTGTTGATTCATGGACACACATCCCCAAAGTCTTACCAAGGGTCCCTCAGGACTCTGGGGAAGGTAAAATCAGATGCAACAGTGGAAAGTGGTTTTAGGGAAATAGAATGTGGAGATCATTTAGGAATGACATGTTGGCTCCCTATAGTTACTACTGTTGTCCTCTACCCAGGTGGCAGCTATAAGAAGATTGGCTACTATGACAGCACCAAGGATGATCTTTCCTGGTCGAAAACCGATAAGTGGATTGGTAAGTGGATTCTGTTCATATTTTCCTTAAACACTGAATAACACAGAAAAAGGCATCCATTTGAATGAGAGGAGGATTGGGAGTTCCATGAAGCTGGAATGTGGTAGAGAGGAGGGCAGGGACAGGTTTAAAAGAGAGTGAATACAACCTCTAAGACGTGGGGTGGGGAGGCCAGTGTATTCAGAGAGAATTTAGGCAATTGGTTGCAATGTGTTATTAAAAATAATACATTGCTGGGGTAACTGGGGTTTAAAGGCAAGGAGTGGGTAGGGGGTCAGAAATGGCAACTCCATTTAGGTTTCCCAGATGTCCTGGTACCTTGATGTATCTGAACCAGCTACTTCAAAGCTAAAGCTGCCTCTTTGTCTCTGTCGTTAAGCAGTTGCTTAAGCTATAGGAGGACATGCAAAAATTATCTTCCACTAAAATGTGCTTTGTAGTGAGAGAAAATAAGCAATTCTTACATGTGTATTCAGTAAATTAAATCATAGGAAATGGGAAAGATACTGAAGGTGGATGAAAGGAATGACCTATGGATAAAATATTGCTTCTGGGAGACATGAATGGTTAAGTGCTCAACTGATTACTGAAAGGTTGGTGGTTCGAGACCACCCAGTGACACCTTGAAAATATACCTGCAGTCAGTCTACTTCTGGAGCATAATTCCACTCTTGACATCTGTGGAGTTGCTGAGAGTTGGAATTGGGTTTGTGTGTTTCATTTGTTTGTTTATGGTTGAAAGAGGGATTAGTACCTAGAGGATAGAGGGGCGGCTCCGCCACTGAAGATAGTTGTCATCTTCCCAGCATGGCTGGAGCTGGAATCCTTTTTAAAAAGGATTTGAATTTAGGACAGGGTTCTGCAATGCTATAAATGCTGCATGGCCTAAAACCTAAATTGCTTTTTTTGAAAAGCAAATTGAAATTAATTTTTTTAAAAATTCTGAACTCTTCAACAAATTTGCACCACTTCTTATTAACCACTGAAAACACCTTTGGGAATATCACCCCATCAGGGTTTAAAGCACAGATTAGATTTTCCTTTTTTTTCAGCCCAAGGTTAGTAGATCAGACTGGATATTTTAAGATCCTCTAGCTTTGTAATTCTATAATTGTTTTTGCCATTTTTAATTTGGGGTGTAAGAGATTCTATAAATTCATTCCTCAGCTCTAGCCCCTTCTTCTCCCTCCCATTTCCTTCTGCTAAAAGAAAGGTAGAGAAACAGAAAACACATACAGTTACAAAGAAAGGTACTGTAATTTGTGATGTGCCTTAGTATTTCCCAACCACTGGAGAGAACATTTGCTCCATTTTACCATCTCATTTCTGATCGCTTCATAGAAGCTTCCATACCAGTGAGCACTCCACCCTCAGTAGTCCCTGTTTAGCGGAACTAGAGCTCATGACACCAGTCTCAAGGATGAGAATATATGTTAGCACCATTTTCCTTCGCTCCTCTCTCCTGCCTTCTTTTCATTCCCCTTTCCTCCTTCCTCTCTCTTCTCCCCACCCCCTACTCTCTGTGTCATGCAGGAGGGTCTCCCCCAGCAGACCAGACCCTGGTCATCAAGACATTCCGCTTCCTGTCACAGAAACTCTTTATCTCCGTCTCGGTTCTCTCCAGCCTGGGCATTGTCCTAGCTGTTGTCTGTCTGTCTTTTAACATCTACAACTCCCATGTCCGGTAAGTTTCTCTTCTGTCCTGGATGCCTTCCCAAGATAATGACCACAGCTCTTGAAGTTCCTTTGAAAAGCAGAGAAGGAAGTGAGAAAAACGCGCATGGTAACTTCTAAGACAATGTTTCAAAGTTTTTTGCTGTGACTTTGCTGCTTTTCTTGGGGTCACTAAGATTTGAGAAGGGGGGCACTAAATATAGTCACTACCCTTACCCCCAAATAAAAAATCAACAACAGTGAACAACCCACAAATCTCACTATCGTTCAGTCGAATCCGACTCATGGTGACCCACCCATTGGGTTTCTGAGGTCATAAACCTTCAGAGTAGACTGTCTCATCTTTCTCATGAGGAGTGGTGCCCAGTGGATTCAAACCACCAGCCTTTTGGTTAGAAGCCTAACACATAATGCACTATGCTCCCGAGGCTCCTTTGCCCTTGAACTGCTAAATGGGGGAAAAAATTATTTGGGGGCCAGGTAAGAAGGGGTCCTGAGTGATACGAATGGTTAAGCACTAGACTGCTGACTGAAAGGTTAGCAGTTCAAAGCAGTCAGAGGCGCCGTGAAAGTAAGGCCTGGAAATCTGCTTTTGAAAGATCACAGCCTTGAAAATCTTACGGAGCACAGTTCTGTGCTCCACACAGGGTATTGTCATGAATTAGAATCAACTTGATGGCAAAAACAAGAAGAAGAAAGCTGTAGGCTCTGAGTAAAGTGCATGCCAACAGATGTTAGCCTTTGGCCTTGTGGCGCTGAGGTTGGGTGCAGAATGTTGGAGAGCTGAGCCTCCCTGGAAGAGAAAGATAACTGCTTTCTCTCCCTCTCCCACCCTTTTGCCTCTGCTCTAGTTATATCCAGAACTCACAGCCCAACCTGAACAACCTGACTGCTGTGGGCTGCTCGCTGGCATTAGCTGCTGTCTTCCCCCTTGGTCTGGATGGTTACCATATTGGGAGAAACCATTTCCCCTTTGTCTGTCAGGTGAGGAGGAAGAGGTGGGCAGATGCCTTGCAGATATGTTTCTTAAGCCTCTTGCAGCAACACCTTCCATGGTTAAGTTTCCCTGCCCTTCCTTCTCCACTTCTCCTGATGCTTGTCCTCATTCATTCTTCCTAGCATCACCCCTCTGGTCTCTGGCTGGCTTTGTCCCTTTCTTCTATGCCTCTAAAACCTTGTTCATTCTGTAGTTCATTTGTCATTTCCAGGGTTGCCATGGCATGCCTTCCAGAGGAGAGGAGGGAGGTATTGGAGATGAAGGAAGGGGGTGTGCTTAAAGAACCTCAGCACAATGATGGCTTGTCTGTGGTGTGGGGGCACAGAACCAGAACTGCAGACTTCCTGTGGGAGCTGCCGTTTGGAAGGACAGGGGCAGAGAACTAAGCCCACAGCTGTGGGTGTAGTTGGAAAGGAACCGCTGACACATGGGGAGGAGGGCCTCTGGAGGCTTGGGTCAAGGAAGGCTCTGACATGGGGGGAAAGTTTGGCTTCTGTGTGTAGCCATGATATTTGTGTGATTCTCCGTTGTACTTGTGGGAAGCATGCACCCTTTCCTCGGCTTCTGTCCATCCTCACTCCCTCTCTCTTCTGCCCATGCTTGTCCTCATTTTGCATCTGTGCACATGGCATTTGTACACACATGCACATACTACAGTTCTGGAGGAGGGATCTGTTCTCTGTGATGCCTGAGTGTAGTGGGAGAGACAGACGACTATCAGCAGAGCTTTCTGAGAGATGCCAGCGTAGGATCTGCATAGAACACTCGGGGAGCAAAGAAGAGAAAGCAGCTCAATCAGTGGTTGGGTGGTTTCCACGAAAGAAGTGCACTTGAGCCTTGAAGGGTGCCTGGAGTTTTGTTAGGTAAAGGAGCAAAGATGCCAAAGAGTGGGACAGGGAAGTATGGTTGGAGTATTGGAGGCCAGGATCATGTTGTGAAGGGTCTCTGTCACATAGTGAGGTGTTCAGGGCATTGAGGATCAATCAAATGCATTTATCCATTAAAACTAGGAGGTTTTGACAGTATCACCAGGTAGGTGGTGGATGGGAATAATTGTTGAAGGTAGGGAGTCCCATCTATTCCCTCCTAACTGACTGTGCCTGCAGTCATTTGTTCCTGATGCTCCCCACTATGTCCTTGCCCTGTTCTGCCCTTGCTCACTTTTCCTTTCATAGGCCCGACTCTGGCTTCTGGGTCTGGGCTTCAGCTTGGGCTATGGCTCTATGTTCACCAAGATCTGGTGGGTCCACACTGTCTTCACAAAGAAAGAAGAAAAGAAGGAGTGGAGGAAGGTGAGCTTTTTATGTTCCTTATCCTTCAGCACCTGACAGGAGAGTTGGGCTCTTGTTATTAGAGTTTTCCCCTGACGTGTTTGTACTCTCTGTTTGCCAAGACACTGGAACCCTGGAAGCTGTATGCTACAGTGGGCCTGCTGGTGGGCATGGATGTCCTCACGCTTGCCATCTGGCAGATTGTGGATCCTTTGCATCGAACCATTGAGGTACAGCTTGAGTGGAGATGCTGGGGTATGGATGCTGTGCAGAGTTCACTGGGAGTCAGGCTATGGGCGCTGTGTGTGCTCTTGCAAAATAAAGCTACTCTGTAGATCAGCAGCTCTCCTCCTCCTTCCTTCTAGGTGAGGCCTAGGAGCCTCTGGATTCATCTGAAGAAGGAAGATGTTATAAGGGATCTGGGAAAATGTGTAGAATTTCCAGGCTTCCTAGAATAAGAGAATAGCAATTATAGTGCGTTTAATAAGGTGTTGAATGCAGGGTGCGATTTGGCATCGGTATTGAGGGTCTTATAAGAATGAAAGGGCAAAGTTGGAAGTGAAGGACTGAGCATAGTGGGAGAGGATGACAGCCATCTTTTCCATGGCTTTGTTTCTCTCCTAGACATTTGCCAAGGAAGAGCCAAAGGAAGACATTGATGTTTCAATTCTGCCCCAGCTTGAGCACTGCAGCTCCAAGAAGATGAACACTTGGCTTGGTGTGTGGGGTAGAGGGGGATGATGTCAAGGATAGTAAGTTTGGAGGAAGACAGGTCTTTGGGAAAGGTGACAGAGAGTTGCCAACCCAGGTTTTTGTTTTGTTTTGTTTTTTTCTTTTTTTTAACTCAGATGCCAACCCAGTTTGAAGTCTTCCTTTTTGCTGAGCCTTTTCTGAGGGTAGGGGAGAGGTTGTCTGCTGTGAGGAGCAGAGGGGCTGGTGGGAAAGGCCCCATCCCTTTGCTCTGGCCTGACACTATCTCTATCTGGTCAGCTCCCTAGAGAATGATGGAGGTGGTGAGGTCACGGGCTTGTTTTAATCTGTGGCCACAAATGGCAACCCTCCTTTCAGCCTTGGAAACCACCTTCTTACCTGGGAGGATAAATGGGTTTGTGGCCCATGGAGACTCATTCTCAGCTGTTTCAGCAGGCCCTTGCCTGACTGACAACTGCTCATTATCATTACAGTTTTGTGTAAAAGTTGGCTTAATTTGAGGCTTGTGTACGTTGGGCAGGCGTAGTGGTGAGGTTGTGTGTCAGGAAGACAGGGAGGGGTGTGCTTGGGAAAGAGGTTGGATTGGAAAGGAGCTCTCCCTTTCTATGGTGGAGCTAGAACAAGGAGGGACAGTCAGTGAGGGTCAAAGAGAGAGGATGAGGATTGAGTGAAGGAGCCAGGGAGACCCTATTGCCCGTGATAATTTTCTTTGTAGGCATTTTCTATGGTTACAAGGGACTTCTGCTGCTGCTGGGAATCTTCCTTGCTTATGAGACCAAGAGTGTGTCCACTGAGAAGATCAATGACCACCGGGCAGTGGGCATGGCTATCTACAATGTGGCGGTGAGCTGCTCGAACCCCTGGCCTTTGACTCCATGAGTTGACAGTAGCAATCACATGTGCAGGGGAGAATCAAGAGAACTGGGATGAATTGCATGGAAGTCTTAACAAGTGCTTATTGCCTCAGATTTGTAAAACGCTTTATGGTTCATCAAGCACATTAAGACAGTAGTCCATTCATCTTCATGCAACCACCCAGTAAAGTCGATATTAGTCTGTCCACTTTGTAGATGAAGACACAGAAACTCTGAGTTTAGCCCATAAGCTGACATGTGGAATCTGAGTGGAGATTTCTGACCTGTTTGTCCCACTGTTCTCAGGTATCCCCCCAGGGAGTGTTGAGAACTCAGAATGTGTGCATAGAGATCCTTAGTGTTCTTGCTTTGAGAGAGGGATTGACCTACAGCTGGGACAATTTATATGGAATTCTTCTCAGTCTGGAGTTGGAGATGGTCCTGAACGCAGCTCTTTGACAGGCAACTGAGCACCAGTAAACTGTCATCAGAGGCTCTCTGCTAGAGGAAGAAATGCCTGGATCTTGTTTGAATCTACAGACTCGAACCTCCTTAAACCCTGTGTGTGTGCAGGTGCTGTGCCTCATCACGGCTCCCGTGACCATGATTCTTGCCAGCCAGCAGGATGCAGCCTTTGCCTTTGCCTCTCTTGCCATCGTTTTCTCCTCCTATATCACTCTGGTTGTGCTCTTTGTGCCCAAGGTAAGGCTCTGCGTTAGCTCACACCATTTCCAGTTCCCTGTCTGCTCTGTCCCTTCTTCTCAAGACTTTTCCTTATTCCTTTTTCCCCCACGGTTTCCCTTGTTTTGGACCCAGTTTACCCCACTCATTTTCATTCCCTCCAGCCCCAACCCATTGCCTGGTAATTGCTGGCACCACCACTCTGAGGTATGGTCTCCCCATGCCCCCAACAATTGTTGCCCAGATGCGCAGGTTGATCACCAGAGGGGAGTGGCAATCAGAGGCGCAGGACACCATGAAGACAGGGTCATCGACCAACAACAATGAGGAGGAGAAGTCCCGCTTGTTGGAGAAGGAGAACCGTGAACTGGAAAAGATCATTGCTGAGGTGTGTGGGAGTGGTTGGGTGAGGGGGTGAAGGGCCCAAGAGATTATGCCATAGATTGAGTTTTCTGAAGCAGAGCCTGAGGCTGAGATAGTTAAGGTTTACTCAGAGGGGAGATTCAGGGTCTCAGAAACAAACCTCCAGGGAGGTGAGGTGAGTAGGATAGGGAAGAGGAGTGGTCTGATGAGGATACAGTGTCAGGTAAAAAGCAGTGTTGCTGGTGCTCAAGTGGGGGTTTGGGACATGACCTGACTGCTGACTTGACTCATTGAGGAAGGAGGCTGGGTCCGAGCAGGGTTTTAGGGTGCAGTCATGAGCTGCTAGCATAGCAGCCAACACAGCAGGTGGATGGTGAGAATGCCAAGGGAGTCTGGATGGGTTCCCACATGTCCACAGCATCCAGACTGTACTTAGGGGTTGGTTGGTTTTGCAAAGAAGTGCATGATTTATTCAAAGCAGTGTGCGTCACCCTTTCTCTCCCCTCCCATTTTTCTTTTTAAATTCTCTGCTATTGTGCTGATCTCATTTATTCGATTGGTGTGTCTCATTCTGTTCTTTTCCTTCCTCCCTCCCCTAGTCACCCTTTTCATTTCTTTTGTCCATCTACCCTGAGTCTCACCCACTCATTTTCCCATGCTCTTTCTTCTTCCATCTCTCGCCTCCCTGCCCCTTTCATTGCTGTCATCCTCCCACACTCTCAATTGTTTTTCTTCCTCCAGAAAGAGGAACGAGTTTCTGAACTGCGCCATCAGCTCCAGTCTCGGCAGCAGCTTCGCTCCCGGCGCCACCCTCCGACACCCCCAGACCCCTCTGGAGGCCTTCCAAGAGGTCCCTCTGAGCCTCCTGACCGGCTTAGCTGTGATGGGAGTAGAGTTCATTTGCTTTACAAGTGAGGGGATATAAGGGAGAACAGGCCAGTGGGGGAGGGTGAGGGACCAGGGGAGGGGCAGGGGATCCTTGTGCTCAGTGGAGAAGGATGTGCTCTCCAACCCCATCACCTGTGAATATGTGTCCCTCTGCGAGCCCTGGGGTTCCCTATACTTGCAGTACTCTGGGAAATAGATCTTCTGTCTCTTAATCATTTGCATAGCAATTTTTTTATCACCACTTCATAATTTACTTTGTACTTTGCTTAAGTCTGTTCATTCCCTGACTTCTCTCTCAGCAGCCTCTTTGCACCTTTCTCTTCTCATCCCTGAGTCCTGTCTGTTGACCATGGCCATTCCCAGAGCTCCCTTTGCCTTTGTGCTCTGCTCCCATTCAGCAGAGGTCTCCTCGACAGCTCTCTCTCCACCCCAAGAGGGACTTCCATCCCTCACACCCTCTCCACATCATCAGCCTCCATCCTTCTTACCCCATCTACAGTTTTCTCCCCCTCATTTTTACTTCTTCTGGGGACTCATCTTTGCACCAAGGTTTACGTGCTGCTCGCCTCTCCTTGCACACTTGTACATGTGTACATGTATTCTCCCCCTTTTTGTTCCCACTGCACAGCCTCATGTGCACACATGCTTTTCACAGGTACTCACTCCCTGAATGTCACTCAGAGCTGCAGGTACTCCTCACATAGTCACAGCGTGTGCCCTCGTGTGTGTGTTTGGATGTTGTTGTTGTGTGCCATCAAATGAGAACCAACTTGTACAGACTCTCAGCAGGTTTTCAGAAGCAGTAAATTGCACAGGAAGAGATTACCCGTCTTTCTCCCATGGAGCAGTTGATGGATTTGAACTCTCTGCTTTTGAGTTGGCAGCACAGCTCCTTATCACTAGGCCACCTGTGTGTAGGTCAGAGTGTACAATTTCTCTCACATACTCAGTCATATCTTTTCTAACTGCATACATCCATGTGTATATATGTACTTTGTTGTGTACCCTTGTGGTAACTTGTGCACTTTCTTCCCGTTGCACCTTAAAAAAAATCAGTTTTCCAACAGAGCCATATGATCCTGCCCTGCACCTTGTTATGCACTTTCCCTCAATTCTTGTTTGTTGGGGCTGTTCACACCTTCCTTGTCACATTCTGTTTCCGCTCAAACTTTTTCTTTCTTTGCACTTTTAGTTTATACTCATAATCATCTTCTCCCAAGATCGCTCCCTTTTTTAGTAGATTTTTAGGGAGAACTGAGGGAGACATTGGGGCAGGTTTGGGGAACTGCTTCCATGGAGCTGGTGAGAATTGACCGAAGGATGGCACCCTGGACTTCTGTGACGGACAGATGGACCTGTGGGGAATGGGGTCTTGTCTCTTTCACACTGTGGTGTCTCATGGGGAAGGATCTTCCCAGATCTTCAATAAACCAATCAACAGTGTGATTTAACACCTTGTCCTCCCTCACTGTGAGAAGAATGGGCTTCAGTCCAAGGAGGGAGGGATAAAGGGCTCCAAGTTAATGTTAAAGTGGAGGAAAAGGAGGAGGTGTTTTATTGAACTGTTGAGGGCACAATAGGGCACAACTGACATGATTAGAGCTGAAGGTAGGAGAGATGATTTAAAAGTATGAGCTCTGGAGTCAGATTTCATCATATGGAAGAAACTTCCCGAATCTCTTCCCTTGTCCTCGTCTGTGAAATGATCCTTTATTGTTGTTGTTATATACTGTCAAGTCCCATTTGACTTGTAGCGACACTATGTTTAATAGCTCTGAAGTCTACCCTATCCTGAGTCAGTCTCACTGACTCTGACACATCTACCCTCATTGCCCTAGGTACTGTATCAGTCTGTCTCATCTGGGGTCTTCCTCTCCTGCTCTGTCCCTCCACCCTTCTGAGCATGAAGTCCTTTTCCAAGGATCGGTCCCTACTGGCCACATGCCCAAAGTATGTGAGACAGAACTTCAAAATCCTAGCCTCCAAGAAAAAACTTGGCTTCACCCACTCCAAGAATGACTGACTTGTTTTCTTGGTGGCCCATGGTATGTTCAAGACTTCACAATTCAAAGGCTTCATCAATTCTTCTATCATCCTTAGTCATTATCCAGCTCTCTGATACATAGCAAATATTTGAAAAGCCCTTGGAGTGGATTAGGTGCACTTCAGTCTCTAGAATGACACCCTTGCTTCTCAGTACTCTGGATAGATCGGTGACAGCAGATTTACCTAATGCAATTCATCTTTTGATTTTCTGACTGCGGGTGCCAAGAGTGTTTATTGTGGAGCCCAGCAAGCCATAATTGTTAACAACCTCAATCTCTTCTCCATCCATCATGGTGCTGCCAATTGGCCCAGTGGTGAGAATCTTTGTCTTCTTGATGTTGAGCTGAAGTCAATGCAAAGGCATTTGACTGTGTTGATCACAATACATTGTGGTTAACCTTGAGAAGAATGGGAGTCCCAGAACACTTGATTGTGCTTATGCAGAACCTATACTTGGACCAAGAAACAATCTTCAGAACAGAGCAAGGAAACACTGCATGGTTCAAAATCAGGAAACGAGTGTGTCAAGGGATGCGCCTGTCTCTATACCTTTCCAATCTATAAGCAGAACAGATCATTTGGGAGGCTGGACATTATGAGGAGGAATGTGGCATCAGGATTGGAGGAAAACTCATCAACAACCTGTATTATGCAGATGACACAACCTTGCTTGTTAAAACTGACGACCTGAAGCGCTTGCTGCAGAAGGTCAAGGACTGTAGTCTTTAATATGGATTGAAATGATCCCTACGTGATGCAAATAGTTAGGCACTTGACTCATGACTCCTACCTTAGTGATCAGTGGTTTGGACCCACCTGGAGGTGCCTTGGGAGATAGGCCTGGCAATGTGCTTTCAAAAGGTTACAGCCTTGAGAACTCCATGGAGCAGTTCTGCTCTGCACTCGTGAGGTCTCCGTGAGTTCGAATTGAGGGCAACTGACAACAGAGTCTGTGTAGTTGAGATGATAATGGTAACAGTAGCAGCTGCATCTTCAATGGAATGGATGGAAAGACTAGATGAATCTAGCATTCAGGTGTTTAGAATGGTACTTGGGTGAATGGGTTGGGTGATTATTGCCTGCTATAATAAAGGGTTCCTTAATGATCCGGACCCTGGTTTTTCAATCATTTGCTGTGCATCTGAGAGCTGGACAATGAATAAGGATGATAGAAGAAACATTGATACTTTTGAACGGTGGTATTGGAGTAGAGTACTGATATCCCATAACTGCTAAAGGAACAAATATGTCTTGGAGAAGGTGAAGCCACATTGCTTCTTGAAAGCAAGGATAATAGAGAAGGTGAAGCCACATTGCTCCTGGAAAGCAAAGATGGTGAAGCTTTGTCTCACATACTTTGGGTATATTGCTAGGAGAGGCTGTTCTTTGGAGGATACCATGCTTGGAAAGGGGAAGAGGGAGCAATGGAGAGGAAGACCCTCAACCAGGTGAATTGACACAGTGACTGCAGGAATGGGCTTGAGTGTGTCAGAGATTGTGCCATTGTTGCCACAGGATAGAAAAGGGTTCAGATCTTTTGTTTACAGGGCTTCTATGAGTCATAAATGACTTGACAGCACCTGATAATAATGGTGATGGGAGCCTGGAGCAGGGGCTGCACAGGTGTAAGGATTCTTTGGCAGAAATTTAACAAAAGATAATAACTGGGAGATAAAACTCATTCCATCCTTAAAAATCTTTGTCTACATACTTTGGGGTACCTTGGAAGGAATTGGTTATTAAAATGAAAGAAAAAATTGAATGTCTAAAAGTAGGGGCAAGGAAAAGAAAAAACCCAACTAAGCCTTTTTGTAATTCCTTGAGTCCTCTTAAGAGAAGTACTTCATTTACTTATTTTTAAAAATATAACTCTTTTTCCCTTTGGCACTGATTTTTAGGTGATTCTCACTTTATTTTTTTACAAGAAAAGTAGAAGAGTTGGATGGGCCCTATCTTTTCATCATCGTGCTTAAGATCCAGTTTCTGAAGTTTTCTTATTACATGGGTAGGTTACTGAGACTTACACTTGAAAAATATTCCCTTGTGATTATCCAACTTGAATGAGTTGGATTTCATTTGAGTTTCCTGTCTTCTCATAGTTCAGTATCCTTAAGGAATGGGCAAGAGGCCTATGGAATAGGAAGCCCTAAAGTGTGGAATTTGAACAATTGGCTTCAGAAGTAGGGGATATAAACTACCATGAATAGAATCCAAAAGATCAAAATTGCTATGTCAAATTTTCTTTGCCACTAATATTATTACCTTATACATTGTAAGTAGAGAATCAGACGTTCTAGTGATCCAGGGTAAGATGGACACTCTTTTCTGTTAGAGAATGCAGGAACCGAGTCAAATGGCAGGGGTGGAGAGACTCCTGGTGCCATGATCATGTGGTACCAGGTGGGAGACCACTCCTAATAGTTCTTGGAGATGTTGCTTTCCTTGGCATCTGTGAGGATGGCACCTTTCCATCTCTGCAAGACTGGGTCAACCTTGAGCTTTGACTCCTTGTGGCTCCAGGACTACCTAGATACCCAAAGAGTGCCTTATGATGGGGAACATCAGAGGTAATTCACCCTACTGATAAGGAAGATCCATTCCTTACATCCTCGACTCCACCCCGCTTGCCTCTAGTTTGGTCCCTTCCCTCCCTGTCCTAGTCTCACCAACAATATTTACTGAGTATTTACTTGACTGCCATGTTATTTTTACTATCTTTTCAAGCAAATACAAGTGTTGATTAAGCACCTGCTACATGACAGATAATCTAGAAAGACGGTGGGGCCAGAGCAGAGAGCAATACAGGCTTTCATATAGATGTAGAGAGGGCAGGCTGCCAAGCTGGAAGCTTAGAATTTCTCTGGGAAACCTTAGTTTTTGCCAAAAGCCTCTAGCTGATTCGAAGCCCACCCAATTTCCACGGGGGTCATTTACTGATAGTAACCACATCTATACATAGGTTTTTTTCCTATCTCCATACCTTTTCAACTTATATGCAGAACAGATTATCCGGGAGGCTGGGATCTATGAGGAGAAATGTGGGGTCAAGATTGGTGGACGATTTATCAACAATCTGCGTTATGCAGATGACACAACCCTGCTTGCTGAAACTGAAGAGGACCTGAAGCACCTGCTGCAGAGGGTCAAGGACTGCAGCCTACA